ATGAAGACTACTCTTTGAGAGTAAGTCTGCTAATGTTCCTGCCCTTATCATTCACATGGGCTAAAGCAGCTTTTCATTTAGAGAAGAAGATGTTAAGTAAGACTGAGTTGTTTGATAATGGAGACTGAAGGGTTATCAGGTGAGTCTACAGATGACCTGAAGGGATCGGTTAAACAAAGTCTCCACTGTTTATTCCAGCTTCTTTCCTGCCCCATTATTCTCCATCTAACCCGGCCCCTCCCCTGCTAGCATTGTTATTGCAGTCTCATGCCAGAAGCTACTCCCAAACAAAGTATTGATTTATCACTGCCATCTTTATCTCATCCCTTCAATTTATTCCTGGCCTGGCCATCCCAAAAGCAGTAGGTGGTTTGTAGTCGTGTTCTGACTCAAATCTGATCACACCTCTGTTCTCTGTTTTATTTATCATTTGCATCACGCACTGGTTTTAGTCTGGGGATTTTGTTATGGATTCTAAGGGATCTCAAAACTGACTTAATATCAGATAAAACAAACTAGCTGCATGATGGATTATTGACGTAGGATGTCTGTATTCATATAAGGAGAAGGGATGTTGACATAAATTGTTATTTTGTAATCAGTTCAAAGAGGCAACATATTGGTACTGGTAATTGTAATTGCACCATACACATTTCTGTAATGACTTATAATGGCGCTATTGTGTACATTTTAGAAAATGTGAAGCATTTGTAATACATTATGAGTGTCAGGAATGTCTTTCTTTAAGTTTCAGATAGGTATGAGATGTGTGGAATATAAAAGGAGTATCCAGCATTCCATCACATGATTTCATGTTGACTAATTAGGAGCATATTGCACCTGTGTGTGATTGACTGGTTTGTTTACACCCCCATGAAATGTTGCACAATCACGCAATCGTTAAAATGATTTAGCCGCGGACGATAATTATGATAGAGTGTGTGTTTAAATTGGCAAGAGACGAGTTGCGCAAACATGGTGTTTGATCGTCGTCACAACGAACATCTGTCACCCTAGACCCATGTCATGTGACCACTTTTTGTTAGTTCGTTTGACAAACACCCTCAAGCGAGGGCCATGAGCATTCAATAATCCTTAGCTTTGGTTTAGTGGTCTTTACTGACAAACCTTGTTCAAATTTCACATTCTATTACCTGGGTGAATAAACGTTGAATTGATTGATTAAATATGCATATTGTGTTATGATCCTTTGAGCATATTCTCTTTAAGATTTGAGCAGTAAAGATTTAAATAGGAGAAAAAATGCTGTGATATAACATAGGGTCTTATCACTTAAAAGCTTGAGGGTTTTTAACAGTGAAAACTGATAGACATCATGTCATTACAAGAACCTCCTTCTTAAGTTAAAGCTTTATTTGATTTGTTTATCATGCATGAGATGGGTTGTTTGGACTAGCAAAGTCATAATATACATTAATCGCAATTGCAAAGAATTTTGTTTGATTGATTTTTGTTTTATTCTTTGGAAATTCATTTTCTCTCATTGCTAGAATACGATATCCGCTGTAAACATTTGCTTACCGAAGCCCATATTTTGAGGGTTTGTTTGGTTATAGAACTGAGCATTACACATAGCTGCAAGTCATGGTCACTCTGAAGAGAACTTGATAGCCAGTAAATGAAACAGCAGAGTTTAAAAGAGTGGAGAGAATAATCTTTGCATCTTGAAGCCTAAGGCAGATCAAGTACGGCAATGGACCATTGGCGCCATGGCCTATACCTAGCCGATCCATTGCCTCTACTCGAGACGTCAAAACCTCCCCGTTTTCATGAATAATGGAGATGATGTCGGGAGAAGGAGGCGGTGAGCAGGAGAATGACTAGATTAGGCCCGCAATCTGATGAATAAGTCTAGATTTCTGCGGTAAAATGTCAGTTATAGTTTTCAGTTTCTCGAAGAGTGGTAGCAGAAAGGGTTGTCAAGTGTTTGGATATGACAGTCAGCATTTGATGGCAGTAAGATGTATCAAAGAATGTCATAGATAGAGGGTATAGTTTGTTCTTAACCAAATGGTTCAAATGTTGGAAGCCACAAGGACATTGACTCATTATATGAGTTAATGTCCTTCTAGCTCTCATTAGATTAGTTCAATGTAGCCTTTGAGGATCCTCGTAAATCAGGCACTCTGTAGAGCAGACATTTTTATGAAACATACGATGATGCATTGCTCTTTGAAATAAAAATTATCTTTGTCTATTATATATATATTCATTCAGAGATCTCAACTAATGCTTCAAGAGATGCCTAAGTAAACAGTGAAATTTATTATTAGTAAGAAAGACAATGCAGATGCTGTCTTACTATTTTCTTCAATCAGCATTTATTTCATTTTATAGTTAGTGCATCTATCAGTTTGTAGATTTATAAGTGAGAAATGTTTTAGATTTATAAGTGAGAATAAGTAGGATATAACTTTGAATGGAGATTTTTTTTTATAAAGATAACCTGATAGACTGAAAAGGGTGTGCCAAGATTCCATTTTGAGCATATTTTCAGTTTATTGTTAATAGTTTTCATACAGTATTCTCCTCATCTTTTAGATTCTTTGGAAAGAAACACTTTCTATTTTATGGATGCATTAGCCCTCCATGGCTAGAGGCTATATCATTTCATGCACCTGCGTATGGTGCGGCGGTATGGGGAAAGATGCCTCAGGGCATAAACTCTCGATCCCTCGATTCAAGTTCAAGTACGCCATCAAATTCCTCCATCAAGGGACCGGGAAAAAGAAAATATCTTGTACGATAAATGGAGCAAACTCATATTGATAATGAGTGGAAAAAATTAGCATAGATGGAGCCAGGGAGGATAAGTGTTCTATGCGAAATGAAACCAATCACATTTGCATTGCAAATCGGTACAGTGTTCATACAAGCATGGAACGTACATTTAAATGATGCAGCATGGGAATACATTATGTATATTGGATTTTATGGGAATAGCAGTGGAATCATACTCTTCATAAGTTAATAAACAAGTCTGTTCATTACAGAGACAGGGATATCATAAAGGTTATCGATCCACCTGTTCTAAAAATATACATGTTTTGATAAAGAATTCTTTAAAAAACACTACCACTCCTATGTAAGTAGAACAATGGATTCATAGCTTGTCCCATAAATATATTTATTTGTGATGTACAGCAGTGAATATCTGCAGGTCCTCCTATTTTTGCCATGCCATGCCTCTACTATACTGTTTTACTGATTCACTATACAACAGATAGCCACTCATTACATGGATATTTTGAGAGCTTTTTGACTTTTCCAGACAGAGGCGTTGAAGAATTCCCAAACCCATCAATTCCATTTTCCTGCACCGATGTGTGGATGCAGGTTGGGAGAAATGCTAAGTACATACTTCAGACGTAATTGCCGAGTTGAGATATGCACATGGTGAAGTGGAAGAGGTGTCTATGACTTCAATCCATATCCCATTTCAGTTATCCAAACAGCTCGCCCCAAAATGAGGGGCTGCTTTTCTGTTTCCACATCAACTATTCATGATAAGCTGCCTGGTAATACAGAGAAAATGATGTTGGTAGAAGGTGATTAATGCACTGCATCCTGCTTCATCGATGATGGATTCTACCACTCATGGTGGAGATGCACCCTTTTTATGATTGAGCATGGAGAGGGTTAAAGTCTGATTGAAAATAATGTCTCATCTCATTCTTGAGAAGGTAGCATGAAAATAGCATGAAAGTGCTAATCTACTTCATATCGTTATGAAACGTTATGGAAACATTCATGGGATAATATCAGAATGTTCCTCTGGTTGTTGAAACTTATTAAACCTCATTGAAATACACACGTATTGAAGGTGAAAGGAAATATCTTCATGGTGTTGTATTTCATGAAATATTCTTACCCAAACCAAAACTCTTTTTGAAAATCTAAATTTATATCCTTTTTTTATTTAAGCAAAATATAATTGAAATGTTGAATTTGGAAAAGTGATACTTAGGTAAATCAAAAAAAGTAGAAGAAATATAAAGTCACTGGAAGCTCAATAAGCTCATAAAAAGTACCTGAAGTTATATTCAATCCACTGCATTTCACACAGGAACATTTGCATTCTTGTAACATGTTGGCGTTGCATGTGCGAGGATATGATTTGCATTTAAACTGTATTGTTTGTTTAGTTTATAAATGCATTCTGTTTTTAGCATGTAGCAGCGCTTTCTGTCAGATTGATATAGATTGTGTTTTAGAGAGAGATTTCCTTACGTGGGCTTACTGTTGTCGCCTATGTAATGCTAGCAGTCTAAATTTTAAAGAGCAGAGATTTGTCAAAGACTGCTAAATTTAGACCTTGCCTCCAGGAGATTTTTCTGGGCTTCGTGAGGTAAACCAGAATGTGATCAATGTGTAGATAATGTCTGAATATATTGTATCTTTCATTGTGCTTATTTTTTCTTTTGATGAAAGAATTTGTTGTTGTTGATAGTATGATTGAATATTTAGTTTACATGTTTCAATTTTGCATGCTATATCTTTTGCCTTTTGATATCTGTATCAACTGTGAATTTTTGTTCATTACAAACTGATATAGAATCATTTTGTCATGGGATAAGCACAATTCACAGTGCAAGTATTAGCCCTCACATTCTTGTATTTGAAAATACATAGTGAACTAAATCAAACACAGTGAAAAATTGTTTCAAAATTTTACATTAAACTGAACATTAAGCTACTACAATATTTGTATATGTACTCTCCTGGCTTCATTTGGTCAAAGTAAAAGGATAAGGGTTAGGGTTGTGACTGGGTTTCAGATTTTATCTAGGGTTAGGTTTAGGTTATAGTGTAGTTAGTGTTAGGTCCCGGGCTGAAGTGAGGTATCTGGTCATTGGTGAAAAAAAATGATAGTGAAGCACTTGTCGTTTGAGAATGCTGTCATGCAATCTCATATGTAAGTCAGTTTCTATACTTTAAAGTGTGGATATAAATACTTTTGCCTCTCCTTGGTAATACAGGTAAAACGGCCACGTCAGCTACCTTTGATGGGAATACCTACATCAGCTACAGTCTCATCAAGAAGAAGATCTCCAATAATCGTGATGAAGTCCTCTTTGAGTTCAGGACCCAGTCCCCAGCGGGTCTGATCCTGAGTGTAGGGGAGGAGTATGACTACATCTACGCTGCTATGAATGGAGGCAGGATTGAGATAGCTATTAATCTCGGATCAGGAGAGTATAGAGAGTTTATCACAGCCAGGAGAGGACAAAGTGGATTCATTGATAATGAGTGGCATAAAGTTAGGATTACCAGGGAGAATACAGAGGTAAGAGAAATAACATTTTGCTTTTCTATCACAATATGGACACATTTATTTTCAGGAAGACTTTCTTAATGAAGTGCAAAGCCAAGCCAAGCCAATTGCCTCTTGAAATGTGGGAACATTGCAATCTCATTAATTGATTTCAAGTACATTAAGATGTTAAGACAATGAAAAGATGATAAAGACATTACTTCACAAACATAAGGAAAACAACAACAAACAAATGAAAAATGAAAATGATGGTTTGATGGAATTTATATCTGTACAAATTCGCAATAGGACAGTAATCTAATTAACCATAGGATGAAATGCTAAAGTTAAACCAGTCTTGGAATAGAATATTGAAAACAAAAGAAAATTGAGCCATCTTCCAATTCCATAACCGCATCCAATTTTGAAAGGTGATATGAAGGGAAAAGAAAGATTGATTTAGTTAGTCAGTATTGGATGTGAATAATCTTGCTGATCAGTGTCTTGTCGAGCTATCTATCTGTGAGAGTAATTGAATATTAGCCATGCCACCCTGTTTTTATCGAGTGTGAGTGTGGGGGTACATCTGGGCACACGTTGAGAGCAGGTGCACGACGGGGAGGCGCCCATCACTATCCTCTATTATCAGCGAGAGAAGCAATGTTAAAGGCTCACTCACAGGGAAGACCATTCAGATATTACCCTCATGAGTTAGCTGGTTGTAGATTGAAATTGATATTGTTGATATATTATGCCCTTTAGTCATATGTGAACTTTTGAAAAAAGGGAGATGACTGTCTGTAGATGTTTATTGGATATGATGTTTTGGAAAATATGTTTATCAAGAATCTGGCGAACCGAAATGGAAGTAACACTACTCTGAAGATTACACTGAAGTGTTTGGAATTAAAAATAAACAAAATATTGAAAGAGATACCATGCTATTGTTAAATTTTCCTTATAATTGCCTTGAAAATGGATTAATGATTACATTGCAGATTTGAATTGGAGATGATTATTCATTTTATCAGTTTTTAGCAAAGATGGAGTTTCTTTTTTATACTTATATTTTGATGAATTCTTTTGAGGTAGATTATCTTTTAACTTACAGAAAGAAATACTTTTAAACAACACATGAATTATAATTTTTTAAACCTAATTATTTAACGATTTGAAGAGTTTAAGAGAAGCTTAAGAATGTGATTGACAAGGCTTTATAAATCATAGAAACTCAAAAGTTGTCCTTTAAGTCACGTTGTTAATAAATTGCTATAAAGCCCTATTCACACTTGCAACAGTAAACTGCCTTTAACAAAAATATTTGCAGCAAACTAAAATCATTTCACACTTTATGTTTCTGTGTCCTATACAAAAAATACAGAGATACTATTGCGGGTCTTTGTCGCACCCAGCTTTTTCTCCCCTCCATTTGCTATTTACTTAAATGTAAATGGATTTTGTGTCATTGCTGCAGCAGTACGGCTTCTATTTTTAGGCAGATTAACTCATCAAGTGTAAATAAGGCTATAGGATGTAGATGGGTAGATAGGTGTTTTAGACGTGGCAGCTGGAAGGGACGTGGTTACATTGACACCAATCTACCTTCTAAATTAAAATTTATTCCAAGAATTTTTTGGAAGCATCATTTTGACAGGAAACATTAGCATCACACATCTGACTGAGCTTTGCAAACAAAGTACTTCCTCCATTTTTTTTCTGAAGTGTATTTAATTGTTTCTTTTTATTATTGTATTTGATCAGATTAATTGGATCATTTTTATTTTCTAATTCATCATGAACTAAAATTACTTGCTCTGCTATTTGCTGATATTATTTTTCATTGACATGATTGGTATGATGGTATTGTAGGTGACAGACAGGTCTTTTCATGAAACTTTGTGTTGATTGAATAATGTGTTGTTATTTGTTCTTTAATAAAGTTTATGTGGTGAGGGGCAGAAGGGCCTTTACATGTTATTTTACACAGAGATAATTCCCTTCTGGTCCTCAACAAACGTTAAAAAATCTTTCTGTATTGCATATTTTGAACCTGATTATTTTTAAATTACCATTATTTTCCTCGACCACATTTTTCTTTTAATTACCCATATAAAGAGATTATGACAAACTATTATGTATCATCTTTACAGGTAACAATAAGAGTGGATGAGAGTATCATGGCAACTGGGAACACAGAGGGGGATTTCATGCGCCTCGGGGCCACCAGGGAGTTTCTGGTAGGGGGTGCAGCCAATCCAGAGCTGGTACCTGGATACAGAGAGGTGTCACAGAACTTCAGAGGCAATCTCAGAGATGTGAGTTCCATTCTTATTCTTGTCTTGGAGTAGTAGGTTGAAATAGTGTTGTGGTCATGCTGTATTCAAGCACATACCAAGATGGTAGAGAGAGAGAGAGAGGGGGGGGCGGGGAGACGCATATATTGGAATAGAGAGAAAAGAGAAAGGGGGCAGACACGCAGATAGGAAAGCAGATAGGAATAAGAGAAAATAGACTCAGAAGGGAAAGATAGACAAACAGACAGACAGACAGACAGACAAACTACTGGTAGAGTCACACATATACTTACAGACGAAGCGGTCAATCAATTTAGATGTATAGAGTAAGAAATATTTTGTATCCTATGAATAATAAAAGAGATACACATGTATTGTGATATTTAATTAATTAAATCAACTATTGGGTCAGCTGAGCAATACCGTACAGTAGCAAACCTTGCACGTCCTATGTTAATAGGAGGAGTATATTGAATCTGGTATTGCCTGTCAGAACAGCTATTTTCCCCCTCACTGTACCTCACTGCCCCTCATTGCCCCACATTTTCCACCTGATCTAGTTGGGCAATCTGAAGACAGGTTTTTTTCCTTCCTGCTTAAATTGAAAACCGACCCGATTCACTCCTTGATTTTGTGGCAAGGGGTGGGTGGTGAATTTCTTAGTTCCAATATGAACTAGTAATTCAATTTTATTGCCCTATTTCCATTAAACAATGGTAAGTTGTTTTGATCTGCCTGTCACATTCTCAGGAGCCAAGATGTACTGAGATCCAGTGGCAGACATGCTACTTTTTTTTTGGGGGGGGGGGGGGGGGGGGGGGGGAGGGGTGATTCTACTAACATATTTTTTTCCATAAAGACGACCGTGAAAACATTCAAAACAACCTCCATAATACTCCCTTAGTGTTGTGGCCACCATATCATTAAAGTGTATTCAATTTTAAACCATAGTTTGTCTATTATTGCAAACATTCAAGAAAAGAATGAAGCACTTGGTATCATAATCCATTAAAGGATTATGTGACAAAGAGGAAATGCCCACTGATGCAGATGTAAGACTTTAGATTCCAGTGAAACAATTACCACTACAATGTATCAGCAACACCAATGTACAAGGTTTTTTAATCAAAGCCCAATTATCCTCACAATTTAAGGCTCACAAGTAACCTTTATCAAATACAATACAAAGTAGTCGCCTTAATTGAAGGGCTAGAGTAATTAAGAGCTTTATGAGTCATTGAGCTTTAATGTGAGTGCATCAAGCCTTGTTTGCAATAAACAGATAAGACATTACATTGTCAACACATACAGTCATGCAGGAGAGATTAAGCAAAGGACTTGTCAGGTCATTGTTGTAGAAAACCAAAAATTTGATAAAAATTGAATACAGCTTCTATAAAAGAGCAACATATTATAGTAGCAAGTATTATGAGAAATAGAAACTTTTTTTTTAAATACTGAAAATAAATATATAAATGAATATGTATTATGAATCATGGATAAGAGCAATATTTTCATACTAGGCTTAATTTTTCTTCTCAGAATAAATGGTATCTTTTAGTGCTTAACTCACAGTTAGTAGATCATCCTCAGAGCAAGGATGTGCTCATATTTATAGTTTTTTTCCCTTTGGCATTTCTAATGTACTTGTTATATATCATAGCATTATTATGGATAGAAAACACCAGTAGCATACCCAATTTGTTGCTATGTTGAGTAAGCTTTAATTTAGCTTATAGTAAACATCAAGAGCAACTTTGTTTAAGAAAGACACATACAGAGAGTAAAAACACTCTTATTTTTACAACTTTCTTGTACTTTGTATATTCACATCTAATGAAGATCATTTATTAATAAAAGAATAGAGTTGTTTCCGCTATGAATATTTAAAAGCAAGAAATATTGACATTAGACAGCCTCATTTCATCTCTTCTTTAATCTTCTTTTGATGAAAAAGCAAATTTCTGTAAATTGCATTTTTATTTCTCATAACTGTTCTCATCATGATATGCCAACTATCAATTCTTCATCAAGGTGAGCCCCCTTTTTCTTGCTCTCAGCAGATGAAATTATTCTCACTATAAATTCTGAAAAGTTGAATTTCTGGAAGACCATGAGTTTCTTTCAATAGTTTCTACCTTTAAAGAGAAAAAACCCTCTTGAGTTGGTACTGTCTTCCAATTCCAGCATATTTCCATCTTATTTTCATCTAATACCAGATACTGAAAAACACTGTCTCACTGTTATGAAACAGAAGGGCATAACTCATACATAGCATTAGTGCCCTTTTCGCTCTCAGCAGACAAAATTATCCTCACTATAAATTCTTTTTATTCGTCTGTGGCAGGTTGTCCCTTAAAACAATGGAATCTAATTAGTGTGTAAGAAATCAATATGGCATGTCAGGTAGTGAAATCTATGGCTGTGTGTGGATAGATGGCTGATTAACAGTCAGTTAATACTCTGGTAATCTTATATTTCCTTCTTTTAGAACTCTCCAGATACAGACAGACAAAAAGGATTGTGTTTTAACAAGTTTATAGATATTACTGTAAAGTGTGATATAACTTTGTTGTGACGTAAAGACTTGATCAAAACTACATGGCTGTTATATTCCTTGGTTATTCACTATCGAGTCAAATGGACCTATCATTGAATTCTCTTGGAAAATTATGTTCATACAGGCCTATCTTGTCATCATCTGATGCCTTTAATGAAAGTTCTGCTTTTTAAACATTTCAATGTTTATTTTGTTGATTATTTTTCTATGAAATTTTTTCTAATGGATAATTTGTACAAGAGTTAACATAAAAGAAAACAAAATATGAATGTTCGTGGTAAAGTGGAATGAAATATTCTTTTTGTTCTGTTGTTCCATCAAAAAGGAAATTGAAATAATGCTGTTAATGCCCTCACCTTCGCTTCACTGATTTTCCTCTTATGATATTTCATAAATACATAATACTCTATCATCAGGGATACTGCAATTAAGATATACCAACCTTAATGCAATGAACAAAAGGTGAAGATTAAATTGGCTCCAGCGTGGCTGGATCATGACAATAGACTCACAAATGCTGGACATTCTGCTACACCGCGTGCAAAGCGCTGTAATATCGCAAACTGGGAGGCAATTATGCTAACCCCAACAAACAATCCGATAAATCTTTAAACTGGAATCACAATGTATTTCCTTACTCCTATTGGGCCTCCTCCGTGCCTGTCTCACGTTAGCTAATCAATGATAATTAACAACTCAAATCAATATTGGTTTTCCTGTAGAATGATAGCTAGCTGATGCTTGTACACAATGAGTAACTGTACTGAGGGATTCAAACTTTCCACACATTTTTCATTATGTGCCACACCGGAAATGAGGAGGTTGCCTCGTGATTTCCCTTTATTATATCCAGTGAGACAGCAATTCTCATATTTCTGCAGTAGCACATTTGGGAAATGTTAGTACATGTACTATACAGACAAACTAAACTTCAAAAGGGGGAGGGGTGCTACATGAGAAACTAAATCCCCATTAAATTTTTATGGAGAACAAGAGTTATTCTCATATGTTCTGCGACTTGTGAATAATTTTCTGTAGGGTCATTCAGCCAGATAATATGAGTGTACAGAAACGTTCATTAGTAAATCATTCTGTAGTCAAGGCTATAGGAAAGCTGCAGCTAAGCATTTTCTAATTCATACGTTTATGTTTGCTCTTAGCTCTTAGTGTTGTGTATGTAACCAGAAATGAAAGTAAAAGGGCTTTCAGAAGGGCTTTCAAGAATTTAGATAACTTGTTTGACTATCACTTTTCAAAAATGGCCTGGAAGTTTAAAGAAAATCATTTATAATTAGAACTCAATGCTTAAGTGTTTGTCACTATTTTGTGTATAGAATATTACTTGTAATATAATCCTTATGAAAGGTCAGATCATAACAAAGAAAAATAATACTTTCAGAAATTCAGGCCATTTTATTTTATTTGAAAAAAATATATAATATTTCATGCTAAGTACATTATCACTTTAATGTAATGATTCTTGCAATAATCATGCAAAATAACCATTCAAGAAGTCACTTAGTATGGTTCAACAACCACAAGAGTTGAAGCACGTTTCTGTCATTATCTCGACAGATAAGTATCAATCTTTCACTCCTCAAATAGGCAATTCCCCTAATTGAATCTGTCCTCTGTAAATTAAAAAGCTCGTCCTTTCAGACTAAACAATTCAAACATCACCCAGTTCATCACCAGCTTCACTGAAAAATCAGTAGCACTTATTGGTGTGTTGAAACAGAATTAGTCATGTAGCCAATTAAAATAAACGGGAATTGATATTGACTGTTTATTAGTTAACTCTAATGAGTTTGGTGAGATAATGTTGAACGGAGGGGGTCAATCAGCTGGATTGGGTAATTGGTTTAGGGAGTATTGTCACATATTGCAGTCGAGATAGAGAGGCATGTGCGGTATTATTTGTTTGATGTTTGTAAATGGATGCTATTGTTTAGTTTACGTTGATATAATTGTAATGGATATCTAAGCTCATCTTTTCCTACTGAAAAGGTTCTTTTGATCTAAAAACACAATATGTTCATCTGATAGGAACCAAAATGGTATCGACTCATATATATTTACATGTCTTTTTGGCTCTTGGCATACAATTGATCTCACATTTCTATGAAGAATGTATATATTTATGTTGTATTTCTTTATTGATGTAAAAATCATTTAACATGAAGCCAAAAGCTCTTATTGTCTAATTTCCAAAGAAAAAGAGCAGATGGCATCAGATACATTGAAAATACATCAATAGAAGATAAAAACTGATTGAGTGGGGTGTGCAGTTCCATGCAAATCACAAATTATTTATGACTTCATGTTAGATGTATGATGTGATGATGCATACTGTTTTGAGTGAAAGTGAAATAGAGAAATTAATGTTATGTATCCCATTACTGACAAAATAGGTATCCCATGAATTAGTCATTGAATGTCATTTCAAGAGTCATACAATTTA